CAATTTCCTACTTTTTGCCATTCCAACTACCTTTTGCCATTAACCAACCAACCACCAGTTAGAAACTCCTTAGAAAAAAGAGCTTGCTTTTTTCCTCACTAGTGTATGGGCTCTGCAGAGACAAAGTCCACGTTACTATTTTATAGTCACAGTATTCCCTGCACCGAGCACAGCAGCTAGCACATGAAAGAGGTTTAAGTATGGTTTGTTGGATGACTTATAAAAACACCTAAGAAACACAAAACAAGCACACAAAGTCAGGTTGATAAGCAGTTGTTTAACTTTCTAATATTTTCCTCTACAGTTATTGAATACTCACTAAATGCTGGAATTTCTTGCTAAATATCTATCATTTGCTGCCCTTTTTTTTGAGACCCAGTCTCACTACATAGTTTAGGCTGGCCTCAAACTCACAGTGATCCTCCTGCCTCAGCCTCCCAATTGTACCACCACACCTGGCTCTTGTGTGACCTTTTTATATCAAGTAGCTTCTGTCAGTTTTGAAGTGGTTTTCTGGACCCTGACAGTACCTGCCCTCAGTCCTAATTCACAAACTGTTTCTTTCTTCACATAGCACTTCCATTTTCCCAGCTCCTGTCTTTAAAGGACAGATCTAGTCCTCATCAACAAACTTTCACTGAGGATGTGTGAGAGGCGTTGCTGTGTTAGGCATGCAAAGCGAGCCACCCTTCCTGCCACCAGGGCTGCAGCAGCCAGTCCTCTGGTGGCCTGTGAGGAGTGCTGTGTGGAAGCCACCAGGTTCACAGTGAGCAGTGCACAAGTCTGCCCTCTGTCTCGGGGGCGGGTGTGCAGTGCCAGCTCAGCCCTCAAAGTCATTTTCTGCACGCCCCTGAGAAGAAGCCACGCCCACAGTGGTATGGGCGTGGCAGCCCCAGCAAACCCTGGCAAGGGATGCCTAGGACCCATGGTAAACCACCTCTCCAGACTGTCCTTCAACACCTTGGGCTTCCTCTTACCTCGTGCCTTTGCAGCAATTGTTCTCGTAGCCTACAAAGCTCTTTTGAAGACATAAGCAGGGCTCTCCCCGTCTCTTCCAAGTCTCTGCTACGCTGTCCCCTTCATGATGTGGCCATCCTGACAATCCTATTTAAAACTGCAGCCCCTCTACCTCGCCCCATGCTATTACCGAGCATGAAGCATTTCCCACCTTTAACATACTGAATAATGTAGTTATTAATTTAATTGTGTTTCCATCCTTCCTCCTTCTTGCCCCATCCCCTCCAAGAATGTAAGCTCCACAGTTGGGAAAAGCAGACCTGGTACAACGAGTGGCTTACATAACTCTCTCCCCTTGAGTGAGGACAGAACTATTATATTATGATACAGAGCAAAAGGTTTTGCTGGTGCATTAAAGCTACTAAAGAGCTGTTTTCTGTTTTTGTTTTGGTAGTGGTAGGGGTGATATGGGAGATTGTACTGTGCTAGCCCTTTTTCAAAATTTAGAGGCAGGGTCTTGCTAAATTCCTAAATTACGTAGGCTGGGCTCAAATTTGCAATCCTCCTGCCTCAGCCTCCCAGAATGCTAGGATTACAGGTGTGTGCCAGCATGCCAGGCTTAGTCAACTTGTTTTGAGTAAATATTAATAATAAAAAAGGGTATCCAGGTGGGCCTAACCTAATCACATGAGCCATGTAAATCTGGGTCTTGGCAGAGGCAGAGGAAATGAGAGATCCCCAGCTCCATTAAGGGGCCATATGTCAGGCACAGAGGTTCACTTCTCAAGGCAGAGAGCAGCTCCTCGTCAACAGCCAGCAAACGAGTGGAGCCCGGGTCCCGTAATTGCAAGTAAGTGAATTCTGCCATCAACGTAAATAAGCTCAGGAGAGGACCGTAAGCCACAGAGGAGACAGCAGTCCTAGCTGACACTGATTTCAACTACATGAGACCCTGAGCTAAGATGCCCACTAAGCAAGACCAGAATTCTGACCTTCTCAAATTAAGAGATAATGTCAGAGAAAAGAAAGAGGGACAGACGGAGGGAGAGGGGAAGGAGAAGAAAGGGGAGATGGAGGTAAAGGGATAAAAGAAGAGAACAAATAGGTGTTTTGAAGCCATTAAATGTATAGTTCTTTGATAGGCAGCAAGAGAAAATAAATACAACAGTGTAGGGATTTTTGTCTATTTTATTCACTGATAGATCTCTAAGACCTAGAACACGCCTAGCACATGAGAGAGTTAAAGAATTTCAATGGAATTAACTTAGCCCAGGAAAGTATCACTGGATGCTCATTTTGTTATTGTTGTTGCCTGAGACCCATAAAAATAGCTCATATTTTCCACAGATGAACATCAGAGCTTGAGTTTTGGTTGGTCGGTTCGTTAGTTGGTTGGTTGATTTGTGACAGGGTCTCCCATAGCTCAGCCTGACCTTGAACTCTCTATGGAGCTTAGACTAGCCCCAAACTCATGGTGATCCTCCTACCTCAGCCTCCAGAGTGCTGGGATTATAGATATAGGCCATGTGCCCAGTTGGAATTTTAGTTCCTACGTTCAGAGCTAAGCAGTTCTGGGTCAATAAAGCCTGTATGTATACTTTCTCAAGTCAGGTACCAGAAAATTCTCTGAGACTTTAGAATAAGCTCATGTTTCAAGTAACAACAATATACCAAGCAAACTCATAGGTTTCACAACAGCTGTTTTCCTAAACACAGGGAACTCTATTTTTAAAACAAAAAGCACAGTCATAAGAAAATGTAAATGTACAATATAAACAAACTCGGCAGAGGTTATGAACCCTGTAAACATGACCTGAGTTTTGTAACCGTGTCCTTTGTAAAGTGTCCTCCAGAGTCCATTTTTGTATGGTACAAAGACAAGGTGCTCCAGCCTATTAAAATGGTCCAGTCCATGCACTGGTTGAGCAGCTAATATGTGCAACGTGCCCAGAAACAAAGGGAGCTACTACTGCCACATGCAGAGGAGCAAAAGAGACAGAGTCTCAAAATTCATAAAGTTTACTGTCCTCATTTTTTGTGTGTGGTGTTGGGGAACACCCAAGATTTCACTGCACATGTTAGGCTAATGCTGTAATGTGGCAGGAGATTAGGGTGTGGTAGGCTGACTGGGAAAGTGGGCATGACCTGTTAATTGCAAAGTTCCAAGACACATGTGTAGAACAGTTCCCAAAGCCTGGCACATGGACTTTTCACAAGAGCTCAAGAACATTTTCCCTAACTAGCAAATCCTAGTGTATATGAAGCTGTTCTCTTGTTCTGCCTTTTTTTTTTTTTTTTTTTTTCTGTCTTTTTGAGACAGGGTCTCGCTATGCAGTTCAGGCTGGCCTTGAGCTCACTTGGTAGCCCAGGCTGGTCTTGAACTTGCAATAATCCTCCTGCCTCAGCCTCCCAAGTGCTGGGATTACAGGCGTGTGCCACCATGCCCAGCTGTTCTGCCTTTTTAAACGTTCATGTAGAAAATTACATTAAGGATCTGTAGGAATAGATCTCTAGGGGAATACAAGTGCTTTTTGTAAAAGGCAGACAGGTATGTAATGATGTTGTTTAATGTTTCAGAAGACTAACTTTACAAAGCAGTTACATTTCACTAAGCTGATATTTGACTAGTGGTTTAGCAGGTTTTTGAAATACATTTAGTATGGAAATTCAAGTCAGCTTAAGGGCTGTTTGGCAAGCACCTCATCTTCCATTCTGACTATCTGGCAAGAAAGGGAGATTTCAAAATGGTATTTCTTGATGGTAACTTTTCAATTATTGTATCTGTAAGAATTTCTTTTTAAATATTATGGGTTCTGGTATGTCTTGATCATACCCAAAGGCCGAGAAGCAATGTGTCTTAGGATTCCAAACAAAATGATCCCTGCATTTCCTGAAGATGGTTAGTAACAGCATGGTAACCAAAGCAGTCTGAGGAAGAAATACGAAATGCAGAAAAAGGGTTTGTTTGGTTGCATATAATCTTTGCTCTTTTTCAGCTTTGTGAGCTCTGAAATATATTTTTGGGTTACTTCAGAGTGTTTCACAAGGCAGCTTGAAATTTCTATCAAACAAATGACTTTGGTTTGGTTTGGTTTGGCTCGGTTTGGTTGTTTGAGACAGGGCCTTACTGTGAAGTTCAGGTTCGCCTCAAACCCACAATTCTCCTGCCTTAGCAGCTCCAGTGCGGGGCTTACAGACCGCACCACCACACCTGGCTTCAGACAAATGACTCATACTGTAACAGTTCTTTGTAAGAGCCACTCAAGTAAAGTGCTTTTAAAAAGGCAAATAAAAAAAAAAAAAAGAAACAGAAAAACAAAAGAAGAGGCCACGCAGTATAGACAGGGCAGCCTAGACCTGATGCGGGTGGGTGATAAGAAAAGACAGCTGCCGTTGAACTCAGAGCTGCTGTGTTCTAGCTCTCAGAGTAACCTTTCCTCGCACTGTAGAGCATGCGTTTTCCTGCTTTTACTTGTCCCAAACTGGCTCTGCAGAGCCTGTTTCTTTTCCAACCTTTAGAGGAACGGTAAAACCCTGCTACGCCCATGCCTTCCACTTTTCTCACCCTCACAGGACGCGATGTCCATGTCTCGGCTGTCCCTTCAGCCTGGATCCCAGACTTCAGACCCTGGCCCACCCACAGCCAGCATGTAATGTGAATGAGAAACAGACCTGCACTAGTGTAGGACCCTGAAATTTGGGAGTTGTTACTGTTGCAAATCTAATACATCTATCACTGACTATTGGGGGCTGAGATTGAATGCAAGCGGGAAACGCTTAAGAAGACAGAGGAGTGTGGTTCAAGGCCAGCCTGGACTACACAGTGAGACCCTGCTACAAATAAGCATGCAAGCAAGCAAACGAACAGACAATACCAAAGACAAACTGTCCACAGGAAATCAGTAGAGAGGAAATAAAGACAACTAGGAAAGTGAATCCATTTACAAAAATTAATTTATGCATGATTCTCAGGAACATATCTTTTATAAAAGTCAGCATATCTATACTTTATTAGAAACTTTAAGAATATCAGAATATCTCACCTTGAAATGCACTGAAGAAGGCTACAATATTGGGGTGTTTCATCTTTGCCAGAAGAGTCACTTCTTTCTCCGAAGCTTCTTTCTCATGGATAGGCATCTAAAGTGCGTTAAGAGACAGATTAGTATGGTGAAGGTAGATTAGACCTGTTTTCAGGTCTCTGCTTCCTGCTCACTCCCATATAAGAGTCCCTAAGATGTCACTGTTTTAATGTCATTTCTACAACTCATCTCTCACAGACAGGAAATGGCATCCCTACTATTAGTGGAGTCCTGTGGAGTCCACAAGGACTAGTGGAGTCTGGTCCACAGCTTGTCAATGAAATCAGAATCAAGAAAGTAAGTAGAGCTGGTGAGGTTTTACTGTATTAAAAGTATAACCCAGGAATAGTGGCACATGCTTGGAGTTCCAGCTACTCAAAAGGCTGAAGCAGAAGGATCTCTTGAGTCTAGGAGTTCAAGGCCAGACTGGGTAACATAGTGAGATCTTGTCTCAGATACTTTAGATGAGAGACAGACAGACAGACGGATAAATTTGGATTGGTGGTATCGTAATCATTATCTAGGTATCTGAAAGAAAGCTGTATATGTATGCATGGATTTCTTTTGGGTTTTTCTTTTTCTTTTTTGAGACAGAATCTCATTATGTAGCCCAGTCTGGCCGGGAGCTCAAAACAATCCTCCTGCCTCAACCTTCTGAGGGCTGGGATTATAGGCATGTATCATCACAACTTGCTCTGAAAAAAAAAAGTTATTTTAATATATATCTTTCCACAGAAAAGAGTTCTTTATAAGAATGCAATATTCTAGCCACAAGCACTGCTGTAGGATATGTACCATATCCTATAAATCAGACCAGTAGATCACTATTTTTTTTATTTTCAAAGAACACTGTCTCTCGTGACTTCATTGTTTAGTTTTGTGTTTTCTACTTACCATGTAAGGACAGTACCTTTGAAGTGTTTGTACCAATGCAAGTGACCACACCCTATTTCTGCCCTTCCTTTTTTTTTTGTGCTGAATACCGAACCCAGAACCTGCAGCGTGTTGTTCACTCTACACTGAGCTTCACCTTCGCCAACGGTTTTGTTTAATTAACATTCTCCATATCAGCTTGACTCCACCTGAGTGGAAGGACAGTGAAGGTTTCCTAGGGTAGGTTATTTAACCCCTCTAAGCCTCTGTGGCTCCTGCCCCAATTTGAATGACATGGTTAGGGCCCCACACCATGGCACACCCTTGTAAACTCAGCTCAGGAAGGCTGAGGCAAAAGGATCTTAAGCTTAAGACCTAAGTTGAAGGTCAACTGGACTACATAATGAGACCCTATCTCAAAACCCCCCAAATATTTAAATAAATAAATTGCATGATCAGTACATGAGTTTCAAGAGAAAAATAACTTTACTACTCCTATCAGACTGATAAATTACTTAAAAATGTAAGGACTGACAGGTATGGTGGTGCACACCTGTAATCCCAGCACTCGGGAGGCTGAGGTGGAAGAAGTCATGAGTTCAAGGCCAGCCTGGGCTACACAGTGAGTTCAAGGACAGCCTGAACTACATAACAAGACCTTTTCTCAAAAAAATATGTATATACTATTTTTCAAAAGAATATTATTTTATTTTAAAGTAAAGTTGTGTATGGTGGCACATACCCCTGATTGTAGTACTCTGGGAGGCTGAGACAGGAGAATTGTAAGTTTAGGCCCAGCCTAGGTAATTTAGCAAATCAGCACAACCTTGTCTGAAAAAAAAAAGTTTGAGATGTTGCTCTGTACAAAGGCCCTGAGATTCATCCCCAGTACTGGGGAGGCGGGTGGGAGAGACAAACATGAACTAGATAAAAATATTGGTGACATATGAGATGAAGACTATATTTACAACATACACAACTCTGGAAACTTAATATAGGGGGAAAAAACATTCCAAAAGAAAAATGAAAAAGCACATTTATAGGCAGCTCAAAAAATAAAGGAAAAGCAAAGGCCAGTAAACAGAAAAACATTCAAACTCACTCAATAGTCCAAAGGATAAAAACTAAAACAAAACGTGATTAAATATTTCATCTGTGAAACTGGTAAAGGTGAAAATGATGTTAACAGCCACGCTTGTCCAGAAAGCAGCAAAAGATACACAGGTATTTCTGGGAAAAGTATATAAAATCCTTACATGAAGATAATTTAATAATACACAATAGTAGACTTTTGAATGCTTTTACTTTTGAGTACTTTTTCTGGAAATTTATCCAAAGAATCAAAAATGTGCCTGAGACCTAGACCAAAGGTAAGGCAGACTAAAAATAGCAGCGTAAAACCAACAGCAAAACACAGCCTCTCCAAGACCTGCACTCAAGACACCTAGAAAGGTAAAAAGAAGCAGAATTCTGGGAATCAAGAAAGAGCTGACAGGAAAACTAGAAACTATAGAAAAAATGAAGATAATTCAGAGCAAAGAAGGAGGCTGGAGCACTAATTCCAGCGCCCAGGAAGGAGGTCCTATCTCCACAAACACATGGGATGCCCAGGGAGGGTTAGTAACTCCAGGGAGAAACAACCGGCCCAGCAGCACCCGCCCCAAGAACAACTTGTGGTATTGTGAGCTGCAAATACAGGACGGACCTTTCCACTGAAAGTGACTCCTTCCACACGGCCAGCTGGAGTTGGAGAGAAATTCACTGCTGTGCCCACCATGCTTGGGGCTATATAATCAGAAGACATTTGGGGGAAGAGATTTATTGTTGAAGACTGAGCTACTCCAGGAATCGGAGGTCACAGAACAAGTTCATTTCACGTTTTTCTGGGGTCACCCTACTACAGTGACTGGGTAGAGGGTAGCCAAAAAAAAAAAAAAAGTTGCAGAAAAGGGGCAGGCTAGCCGAAGATTCCCTGAGAAGTTTAAATAGCGCAAGAGTGAGTTGTAAAAGACATGCCGGCCCACTCTCTGTGTGAAAAGCCAGGCCAGGCATGTGGTTTTCTGTGGGCTGGGTCAGACAGTGCTGACATTAAGTACAGGCGACTGTTTGGCTCTTCTTGCTATTTCTAGCACAGAGCTGAGTGGTCCATATTTTGCCCCATCTACCACTGTAATCAAGGATATGCCTTGGCTTGGACAGCTGGCACATCCTGGGGTGTAGAGACAGAGGGGGCTCTGGAGCAAAGGAGGCACCTCACAAGCCCCTAGGTCAGAGGTGGTGAACTATGGCACATGTGCCACAGCAGGCTGTTTGGATTACTAAAAGCTCTAGAAGGTTCGCTGCCACTGCCATAGGCCATAAAGCTAGTCAGAGATAGCGGGTGCACAGAAGGGCACAAACACTAAAAACTGCTGGAGTGAATACACACTAAGGCAGACACCACACCACGGATTTGACCAGGCCCAGTGGGAAAGTCAGGACAGGACTCAGCATTAACTCCGCAAAAAGTGGGCAGAGAAATAAACAGGCTCTAGGTGAGATTCACTGCAGTATTCCCCACCTGTATCTGGTGGGTTCCGGTACCACAGGCCCTAGGAAGAAGTCATTCACCTGAACACATGGAGAAAGTTTTTGGACTCATTTCTTTTTCTTTATTCTTTGTTTTTTGTTTGTTGGGGCATGTATTATTTTTTCTATCTTTGCTCTTTATTTTTATTGCTTTTTTAAACTTTTTTTCTCGTTTGTTTTTCTCTGTTATTTTTACCTAATTCTATTAACTTTCCTTTATTCTTCATTGGATTTTTAAATTTTTAATTTTTTTGTCTTTTTGAGACAGGGTCGCACTATGCAGTTCAGGCTGACCTTGAACTCAC